AATACCTAGTATTTGTCATCCAGGTGTGTGTGCTTAAGTGAATAGTTTTTTGCATAAATAAGTCTGACAGAATTACCTTATTTTCTGGCAAAGGTTGGTCTTGGGGTTCTTGCAGAATTTGCATTCACCACACTGAGGCACATACAACGGGACAACAGTATCACCTTGGTGAAAGAGGATTGTAAATAATTAGAAATCAAACAAAATCAATTTTAATAATATATATTGCATATTGTAATGCAGCTCCATACCTTGCTTGAACTTGGTCACACCCTCACCAACGCTCTCGACTTTTCCTGCGCCCTCGTGGCCCAGGATGACGGGGAAGAGACCCTCGGGGTCACTTCCGCTCAGAGTGTAGGCATCTGTGTGACACACCCCTGTGGCGAAGATCTGAGAAACACAGGGTCAACTTCATGTCGGACAAAACTGCTAAACATGGGGGGGATATCAAATATGTTAGGCCTGATGTTAGCATTATCTTAATTACCTGCCATATAAGTTAAGGCATACCCAAGTTATATAACATCAATATCATACAAGTCTTAAAAACGGTGGTCTCTTATGTCCTTGTTGTAATGTGAATTAAAAGAACACAGCAGCTAGAGTCTCAGTTGCATTGCCAAGCATGCAACGCTTTGGTTTACCTTGATGCGAACTTCATGGGCCTTAGGTGGGGCTACCTCCACTTCCTCAATGGAGAGAGGCTTGCCAGCTTCCCAGGCAACAGCTGCCTTGCACTTGATGACCTGAAGGCAAAGCAAGTGTATTTGTTAGTTTTGTTTCCAAACAATGCTTGTACAAAGTAATTGATCAACAGTAGCTTTGGGTTTAAATGAGGTGTCACAGTTTGGGTGACAGGTGGAACTTTTCGCACAGTGAACTTTGAACTGTATCCAGGCTTATGCAAAGCAAATCTAGAGATCCGCAGTTCACTGTTTGGGTGAGGTTGTGCTGTAATACCATGAATCCCTCAAGTTTCTGATGCTAAAGGAGTGAAACTGCGATTCATGGTGCACCAAAATTACTTTTCCCGGTTCTTTCACCAGTCCGAATGGAAGATATCTCACTGGACACTAGGCATTGGAGCATACCAGTTGCTAATGACGGACCAAAGATCAGATCCATAATAGAAGACTGATTCTTTCTTTCTTCATTTAAACGTGAATGGGTGCACGCTAGTAAAAAGTGCCTTATGTTTTAGGATATAGGTGTATTATTGCAAACGTTACGACACATACGTGATGAAATAATGCATTACAAATGTGCATTTTAGATTGTGTGCTAAAAGTACTTACTTTCCCAGCTGTCTCCATGTTCGTTCTTCCTTCAGCAAAAAAGGGAGGGACGTTGCGCGGCCGTAAAGTAGTTAACCTCCGGACCAATCAGAAACGAGAATGTACGGCGTAAGAATGACGCAGTCTGCAGGAAATGCATGTCAGTCAGGAGATGTTTGGCTGCTCAAGTCTGTCCCAAAAAAGATCTCTATTTGTGGGTTGTTTTTCTTTAATATTGAAATGTTATGGCCGATTGTACAGCCATTTGTAATTAAAAAAATAGAACTATATATTTCATACAGTGTATCACGTAAGTCAGCGCCACAAACAAAAGTATTTTATTTTCGTTCAGCTACAAGACAAGTGAAAGATCAACCTTGGAAATAGACATTTTAACACATTGGAGAAAACTGAGCAAATCGCAAAAAGTGTTAGGTCTTCATGTTATGCTACTGAATGTGGGATTGTGAGGATATTTACGTATATAAAAATAGGTATAATCTGCATACGTTTGCTAATTCCAGAGTTACTATAATTTCACAATATTGAAGTTCCTAAAAAGCCCCGACATCCAGTTTATAGAACATACTTATTACTACACAAACTAATTACTTATACACCCATGTATTTCTTAATTAAATGATTAAAATCCATGAGCATGAGATGCTTTGAACCACAAAAGTCGTACTCTTGTAAAACCATATGTGCATTGCAGGTTTAAGTTTCCACTTTGTTCTGTCACATTTTTTACCATGACTGGAAAGCAAACTGTGTGTAACCTGATGGAGTCAGCGCAGAGTTCTGCACAGTAATGCTCAAACACCTTAAAATCAACAATAAGCAAAACATTTGTATAATGGAGGTAGACTTCAGAATATTCTTTAACTTAGGAAACATGTGAGGACACTTGGCATTCTGATAAAAGGTCTGAGAATAAATAAAAAAAGGACACTTACAAAGTTTTTTTTTTAATGAAGGCCTTTAACAAAAATGTGACAACATTCTGTTTAAGATTATACAAATTATGGGTATTAAAATGTCTTCAACCAACAACATATAAAGATTTCCCACACAATGGAGGAAATAATACATTGAGGTTTGTGATTGGATCTCTTGAAGTCTTTGTCAAAGTACAAACATCTCATTGCCAAACACTTGGAAAGTATCAGAATAATGATAAGCCTGTACATAAAAGGAGCCCCTTAACTGTCCATGAAAGCTAAAAAGGTCCTCATTACATTTCACACATGCATACATATGAACCTTTAAAAAAAAGAATCCATCACATATTCAAAACTAGTAAAAAAATGCAACAAAGAAAAAAGGGATAATCCATTCAAGTTCTACAAACAGAGGCAATGTCCATATTCGGAGTCCAACAGCCAACGCACTGGCATAGACGCAGCCTTCATGCTTGTGTAGCACAAAACATGGATGACACCAGACCATCACTGTCAGATCATCTTGAGCCTGAAAGTGAACGAATACAGAAAAATGTTTACCTTTCACACCAGAAAAAACATTTAAGTTTGCAGAACATTGAAAAAGAACAAACCTCTGAATCCACGTCCTCCTCCGCCTCCTCTTCCTCTGAAGCCTCCTCCACCACCACGGTCGCCTCGGAAGCCTCCACCACGTCCACCTCCGAAGCTTCCACCACGACCACCCCCGAAGCTTCCACCACGACCACCTCGGAAACCACCTGAGACAAAAATGGAATTAATAACGCTATGCATACAAGTCATGCTCTAAAATACACAATAACTGGGGAAAAAACCTCTTCTTTAGGATCATGAACTACAGATTAGGAAACGGACAGGAATATTTAATATGAGACAAAGTTTGGATGCTTCACCTCCACGGCCTCCACCTCTACCCCCTCGGCCTCCTCTGGGCGGACCCTTCTCTCCTGGCGGCCTGGGGAGGAATCTCTGCAGCGGGAGGAGCTTCATTGGATCTATATAAAACTAAAAGAGACATAGTGTTGATAAAGTGTAATATAGGGGAATAGAAAATCTCTTAAGTATGAAAATAAATGTCTTTATACCTTCTGCATTTTCTTGAAGGAAGTCGCCTTCATGTTGTCAGAAAGTTTGACGGAAAAATACTGCAATATTTGGTTAAGGATTTAACAAGATTTGAGCTTAACATTTGTATATAATTGCCAGAAGTTGACCTGTACTTTATTTCCCCACACACCCAATACTAAAACAGAAAGGATACAAAGTCGCGGAGCTGGCCGAATATCTCATCCACCTTCCCGATCTGCTCTTTGTTTTCCAAGTAAACTGGGGCGTTGAAGTAGGGAACTTTGTTCTCCTCTGTTGTACACTTAACCACAAGGTCATCTTCACAAGGATGCACAAACTCTCCCACAGCTGCAGAGTGGAAATACAATTAACAAGTTAGTTAGGTATACGGTGTTCTGACATCACAAAAAACCCATTTCCAATATACATCCCCATGTTGACTTTATTAGCCATTAATAAAATGTTTCCACAGTTTTACAATCCAGCATACTTCTGAATACCCAAACATTAATTGTCGTTTGGACGAGTGTGAGCAATAAAAGAGAAACTACAACACAACACATTTTTTGTTGTTGTTCAAGCTTAATAACCTTTAAGTATACACACTCATTACTACATGTGTGTCGTTCTAATAATTTCCCTAGTGGTAGAGACATGCAAGGATACATAAATGTTTTTAACAACGTGAAGCAAATTGTTTGTGTTACATTTCTTCTGATATTCTCATCTCAGTGTTTAGTGCTACGGATGAACATTGGAGCTGGGCCCACCTCTAACATGCTGGCAGCTTTTGCAACATTTTAACAGAAGTACTGCTTTTATGATCTTACCAACAACATATTCTGGAGGTCCGTAGTCATTAAAACCACCTCTGCCGCCACCACCACCACCACGTCCGAATCCACCTCCTCTTCCTCCTCGAAATCCACCTCCTCGGCCTCCTCCTCCGCCTCCTCCATATCCACCTCCTCCACCTCGGCTAAATCCTCCACCACCTCTGCCTCCTCGTCCACCACCTCCTCTGAAAGACATTTTTTCTTCAAATCCTAAGTGATAAACACGAAAAAGAAAGGAATTAGCTCAAACCAAACAAAAACTGTGGTTGTTTAAAGTGAGCATTGACCAACCGAAGCAAAACAATGTGCATTGAATTCAATGCATTCAACGAGCTAACATCGTGGATCCAGCAGCAAGGCAAAAGTTTAGCTAACATGCTAACCCAATTCTGTCTTTAAACAACACAATTCAGCTGCATTTCACCACAAACTAAGCTATATTAGTTTAGCTTCAACATATAAACGTTGAAAAGTCTGTAACACTGTCTACACACAATTAAAGCAGATTACTCACAAATGCGAACGGTTAACTGCAGCTATTTACTCCGAGGGACTCCCATGCGATGACAACACGTGTGGCCAAGGGCTGCCGTAAACGTTTTCACCAGTGTCGGGAACTATCGTAAAGTCGCTTCTCTACCGCACATTTATTAAAGTCGCAGGACCCGGCAGCAGGGCATAATGTTAAACTGTCTCTTCGAAACAAACAGAGACTCGGTCAGTGTAAGTTAACTTTATATACACTTTGTAAATTATGGCACAAAGTTATTTATGTGAGGCTTGTTGATGTACGCAGGTGTCTATATTCCTAATATTGTTTATTCTTCTTGTTTCAGGCATTTAATTAGTGAATAACATCATCCAACTATGTCAACAACAGGGTAAGAAATGAAACTAGCCTGTATCTCATATCTAAGTACTATAAAATGAGTTGATTGCTATGAAGCGAACATTGTGTTCCTTTCGTAGGTTATATGGTGTGTAAACAGGGACACAGTCATTACAAAAACAACGAACCACGCCCAGCTAAAAAAATTAATAAAAGATTCACCTGTCAAGTCTGCATTCATTGGAGACGGTAATAGAGACAAATATAACAAACACATTCACTTTCTCTTTTAGGTCATCAGATGCAAAGCAGCTGTTGCATGGGAGCCTAGGAAGCCTCTCACCATTGAGGATGTGGAGGTGGCCCCACCTAAAGTGCATGAAGTCCGCATCAAGGTCAGCAGATCACCCCAAAGTTGTCTGTAATGCAAGAAAATATGTCTCAAAATGTGGTTTTAAATGGAGGTACTTAGAGCAAACACTCAGGTGTTAAAAGGTGAAAATGGATGAGTTGGAATCATTTGTAGTAGAATGTGTTAAATTATATAAGAATGAAATAATAAACATGGATACATGTGATAATGTTGAATTTCCCTCAGAGACAAATTTAACCACACAGGAAATATTTGAAAACAGCTCACTTCCTCTGTCTTGGTTAGTTCCGTGTTGTAATTGAAATTGGGCAGCAACAACAACTTCCTAAAGTGAGTCGCATGAATGACCTTGTTTGTGCAGATTATTGCCTCAGGCGTGTGCCACACAGACCAGGAATACCTGACTGGACAGTTCAGACAGTTCCCATTGGTTCTCGGCCATGAAGCAGCGGGAATAGTGGAGAGCGTCGGCCCTGAAGTCTCAAAATTCTCACAAGGTGAATCTTACAGCTCACACAAAGAAGCAGAATAGGGACAGTTAACTCTGACTTAAGTACTTTTTTGTTCACACAGGGGACAAAGTTATTCCTCTTTTTCTGCCACAGTGTGGGGAATGTGAACGATGTCTGAGTCCCAAAACCAATCAGTGCAGGAAGAACCGGTGATCATGACTACATTTACACACATACACATGTTTCTTGTGTTCATAGTGTTTTAATACTCATTGTTTTCCTTTTGGTGGTTTTTAGGGCAAATACACAAGCGGGTGTAATGGCTGATGGCACTAGCAGGATATCTTACAAGGGCCAGCAGGTGTACCAGTTCCTTGGAGTCAGCTCTTTCTCCCAGTACACTGTGGTCCCAGATATCTCACTAGCAAAGATAAGAAGTGATGCACCGCTTGACAAAGTGTGTCTACTAGGTTGTGGCGTCTCTACCGGTTATGGTGCTGCGGTTAAAGCAGCCAAGGTAAGAGGATCCACATCTGCCTGATAGATGCATTCAAATTATAATTTGAATGCTTGCCAGCTCTGATACCATCCTGTGGTTGTTGTGTGAGGAACCCTACCTGTAGTGTGAACAAGAGGGGTGCAGATACAAAGATTATCTATGAACATGCCACAGCAAATCCATTAAGAAGAAAAGCATTTAAGTTGTATTTTGTATGTGACATTACTCAGGTGTTTCTCCAGTTTGATTAATGGTACAAAGCATGGCTGCAGTTAATTATTTCCCCCACTAGATGTCAGTAGATAACATTGGCACCACATTTTATTCTAAAATGGTGCAAGGGTCAAATAACCTAATTTCCCCCTAAGACATAAAATGTAGTCTGATAATGATCTGAAGTATAATTCATAGCATAGTGGGTTGAACATAATTCAAAAGCCCCTATATACTAGATATAATAGACCAAAAGGATGACAACAAAACCATAAGAAAGAGACTGAAAAGGTATGGTAAAGATTATGATGTGTATAACATCGACCTAAACACAACATAGGAAATGATCAACTACTTTAAATATTTCATACATTTGGGATTGCTCAATAGCATTGTAGGGGAACATCTAACCCTAAAACAATGTAGAAGTGTGAATACAATTAAAATAATGTTTAAGTATTTTTGCGTACCTGATAATAATCTTTCCTTTCAAAATGCGCAAAAAATCGTTTATTTAAAGGTCCCATTTCATGGCCATTTCCACTGATCATAATTCCATTGTTGAGGTCTACTAGAATAGATTTATATTGTGCAATTTTCCAAAATCACATTGGTTTCTCATACAGCATCTCTGTAAACTACGTGTATTCACTGAATTTCACTCTCTGCCTTTAACGGCTTGTTGTAGCTTCAATAGCTCCAGCCCCCACCCTCCCTGTGAGCACAGTGTGCTCTGATTGGTCGGGACGTTGTGAATCGCGCTGAGTTCCGTGGAGGTGTGGTTTCCTTGTTTAGCGATACACAGCGAAACACAGCCAAACTCACCCTGAGCACACACAAAGTCACAGCCGAAGTAAAAACAATAAGTGTGGCTTGATATTGAGTAAGAAAAAGGTTGATAAACCCTGTGAGAATGGGTCTGCAGAGAGAATTTCGTCCGATATCCCAACTGTCTGTTATCCGGCAGCTTGGTTCTTTCCCCTACATCGGACTTTAATTCTGGCCAGTTGTCCGGAATACCGTTGGTTTCGGGAGCCACAAGGGCATTCTGTTACAGTGCTCGGTGGTCACTGCACCCACTGTAGTGAATAAAAACGGTCACAACAATATAAAGAAGAAAGTCGTAGTAGTCGGACTATAAGACTGCCCCCTAAGCGACGAGTGTCTTGAGGGCCCGACCTGATCCGGAAAAAATGGCGCAGTGACTTGTCACTTGAGTAAGTGAAGAATGGCGAGGCTGCGCCATAAATAGCAAATCAACGGAAGGGCGGGAAACAACAACGCGGGGAAGAGCCCACTAGGGATGTAAGCTAAACTTGTACTAGGTAAGGCCCAGTCTATAAATCGCTGAGTATGTCAAGCGGGGGCTAAACGAAATGACTACCTAAATCAATTCGCAATAAATCCCAAGGTGTGCGGCTTGCTTCCGAGCGGAGAAACGACGTTCACAAAGTGTTCGGTGGTACTTGACGGACAACGGAATAAAAGGCTGCATCGAGAGAAAAAGAGGAAAGGGGGCGAGTGATAACGATCAGTACGGCTAATCATAAAGGCAGGGAAAAATGCAAAAGAACAGAGGCAGTATCCATAGGGCTACCAAACAGGTAACCAGGTGTGTGTGGGCGGACGATGTAGGCTCACCAGAGGCATTGAGCGGGGAAGGACCGGAGCACGTGAAGGGAGCACGGTCAGAAGAGCCAGGTCAAGTGTCAGGCGTCGACCAACGGTGCGGTCGGAGCAGGGCGCTCGGCAGCCAACCACGGTTGCTCAGAGCCGAAGAGTTGGTCGCGCGGCATAGAGTTTTGGCGAAAGGCAGGTCAACTCAAGAAGGCCAATAACTGGGCGCTTGGTTTACCTGGCTTAGGCACCTCTCGGCGAATGCAATTCGGGGGGGCGGACTAACCAGGTTTAACGCTGGGTTAGGTGGCCTGAAAAGTGTGGCGTGTGGAGCCCCGTCCGTCGCACAGACGACCTACGAGAGGAAGGNGATTTTTGCAGGCCTTAGATGCTGTCTGGTGCATTCTCTAGACTGAATTATAAGATGAACCACCACAATATTATATTGTACAATTTCAATGTTATTCTTCATTTGAAGAATAACATTGAAATTGTACAATATAATATTGTGGTGGTTCATCTTATAATTCAGTCTAGAGAATGCACCAGACAGCATCTAAGGCCTGCAAAAATCTAAATGTTCTAGGGGGAGGCCCCCCAAACCCTTCGTGTGTCATTTCGTCCGCGCGCATTTTTCAGGGCAATCTCTATTGGGCTCAGGGCCATCTGTAAATTAGCTTAGATGGCCCACAGGGCCATCTCCTAAAATCCTTAATGTCCTGCACTGCTTGACTTAAAATATTTGTTTGATTTATGCTATAAGTATAGGCAGATAATTTGAACGCTTTTTACAAGTCTTAAAACGTGCAAAAATGCTACATTATGTGAAGACGTTTTCCACTTTAGAGGGACAAGTCAGTGGGTTACGTTCATTTGGAGTTACTTCAATCTACTTGATTCCAAGTTGTACAATTTATTTTGTATGGTACTTGGTAAGGTGTATGTGTAGATACTTTTTTTTTTTAAATGTGTACAATACATTATTTGCTAAAACGTAAGTACAAAAGCAGTCTGGTCAAATGTTAAATATTTTTAAAATGATCATAAAAACAATTCAAATGATACTTTTATCTAAAGATATTACATATTTAATACATTCTGAATTACCAAATGAGAATACACAGAAGCATTGGATGTATAAAGGTACAACTGAGAGAAGCTTTAAAAAGACAAATGTGCAAAAACGATTGTAATTTTTACAGTTGTAAAAAAAACTCAAAAATAAAGCAATCTGGCCAAAGTATTTTTTTTCTACATAAATCTCCCGAACAAGGGTTAAAAACAACAATCCAGACGGTATTTTAACTAAAGAGAGGGAATTAATTTGGTCTGAAATGCCAAATGACAATACAGAGAAGCATTGCAGGAATAAAGGTACAACGGAGACTATCTGTAAAAGGAAAAATACTAAAATAAATGTTATCCTCCCACACAAACTGTCCTTTCTTGTTGCCTTACTTGTTCTCCCTTAACATGACTGTTTGAAGAATCCACTACATTTTTCGTCACTTCTGATGTTTCTTTTTTTTAATCTTTTGTACTTTTTTGTTCCTAGTTGACAGCGTCAGTCCCTGCTAATCATGGAAAGGAAAAATGTGAAACGATAATTCAAAAGGTTATGAGTCCTGAATCATACATCAAGCATCCACTACAAAACAAGTAAGACCAAAGATCTATTCTCTTTAAGTCCTTTTTCACAACTGTCAAGCATGTATTACTCAACATGAGATTCAATAGTATTATAGGAAATGTGCAAATCTCTTGTGAAACTAATTGTGAATGAGAAATATCACTTGAGGGAAAAACATGTGATTTGTATGTAGTAAATCTTCTTTCATTTTCAGGTGGGCTCTTTGGTTTTTCAAGAACGACAAAAGCAAAACATGGCAAGCCAACCTTCGTCTCATCTCAAAATTTGACACAGTGGAAGACTTCTGGGCGTAAGTTTATCTTTGTGATATGTGACCTTAGTAAAATATATAGAAAGCAACGTTTACTAATATAGGAGACAACTTTAATCATCTACATGTAATTACCTGCATCACTCCACCAAAAAGCAGTGTACCATTTTGGAAACTGGGTCTTCTAAAAGTGAGTTTTCTTGTTTTGTTGAAGCCTTAACATCTGTGCCAGTTAATGTTCTTTGAAACAAGATTCATTTGATTGGTCACTTGTCAGTTGTTTGCAAAGCGAGAAGTTTTCTGAACCAGGTTTTTAACAAGGCTGCCAAAAAAAGTTTTCTTTTTAAATTCAGCTCAGTATAAAATATCCTCCTTCTTTCCTAGACTATACAATCACATTCAGCTTTCCAGTAACTTGATGTCTGGCTGTGACTACTCGCTGTTTAAGGTAAGAGTGCTTTTATCTACCAACTGTTTTGTCTTAGCTTCCTCTGTTTATAGATATCACGCTGATGCAAGGGGATTGTGTAAAGGGATACAACGTCAGTTTGTCAAGGGCTTTGTCTAAGTTAGACTAATAGATTACTATTTTCTACCTTTTTTATCACAGCCTTTGCCTTGCCTTTTGTTCATTTAATATATATGTTGGGATGTGTATAGTGCAGTAAGCTCTGAACTTTTATGTTGCTGCAGGATGGGATTGAGCCCATGTGGGAGGATGGACGGAACCGAAAAGGCGGCCGCTGGCTGATAACTCTGTCCAAGCAGCAGCGTAGAGCAGACCTGGATCGCTTCTGGCTGGAGACGGTGTGTTCAGTCCTATCCACTGTCTACACTGACTATACCTTTGATTAGTTCTATCTTGAGGCCTTCGTTAGTACATTTTGTTGCATCTCAGCCGGAAAAGTCCAGGTGTAAACGGTAGAATGATTGAAATGCATTTTGTTTCTATGGTTTTAGGTGTAGAACGGAGCCCTTGTTAATGGTATTAGTAACACCTGTGCATTTCCTGATCTGACAAGTCAACATGTCTGCTTTGAAAAAACCATCAACTACTTACTGCCATTGAACAGGAACTGCTTTTCTATATCGGTGTATTTTTAAATGATTGATTTTTCTTTTCCTTTCTTTCTTGCAGCTCTTGTGTCTTGTGGGTGAAGGTTTTGATGAACACAGTGACGATGTGTGTGGAGCCGTCATAAACGTTCGCGCCAAAGGAGATAAAATAGCAGTGTGGACCACCGACTACGAGAACAAAGATGCCATCACACACATCGGGTGACTGAAAGATTCCACACCTATTTTAAAAAATAAAAATAGATGCCGAAAAAGATACATTCTCTTATTGTAAAGGAAATATCTAACTATAAAAACCTCAAATGAGTTTTTTTTTT